AAGCAGTATTTGGAGACATAATCGATGTCTGAAGAAATACCCCTAGAGAAGTTTCCAAAACTGTGAAATACACACAAGTTAAGACAGAGTCAAGGAACTCTGCCTATGGTAAGCAGGGTAGATACAAAGAAAGTCAGATATAGGTCCATTGTAGTAAAAATTGCTGAAATTTAAAGGAAAAGAGAATAATCTAAAAATAGCCAGAGGAAAAAGTACATTCGAAGAAGAATATAAGACAGACAATTGGATTAAAATTAACCATTTCCTGATCTGTAAAATATAAAAGGTGGAAGCAACATTTCTAGGATGCTGAAAAAGAAGAATTCTCACTAGGAATTTTACCTAGCAAAAATAGTCTTTAAAAATATAGATGGACAAATTGACAGTGGGGAAAAAAATAGAACAATGATTGTCTGAGGCTGTCGGTTGATACACGCATATATAGCAGATGGGAACCAGGGGGCTTGGGGTGAAAGAAATGTTCTGTATTTTGATTGAGTGGGGGTTTGTTAGAAATCATTAAACCGTATGCCTCAAACAGATGCAGTTTACTGTCCAGAAATTATATGACTTGAAAATGGAGGGAGATTCTATTTCCAGCCAAGATTAAAAGAGAAGAACTAGATTTACTTTCCCATCTGAAACAACTTTTAAAAACTAGGCAAACCAATGGAACAGTGGTTTTTATGATGTTGAAGTCAGGCAACAAAGGACAATGGGAACCAAATGAACAGTAAAAATCACACCAGCTTTCAGCCTGAGATCCCAGGCTACACAGCCAGGAGGGGCCACCCAGTCGAAGCCCAGAGGTCTCCCTGATTGAAGACTGAGATGTGAGTCCAGGGAGATAAGGATTTGCTGAGCTGGATCCTGGTGCTTTCCTCGCCCAATTGTGTCCGACACTTTGTGACCCCACGGACTGTAGCCCGCCAGGCTCTGTCTGTGGGGATTCTCCAGGCCAGAATCCTGGAGTGGGTTGCCATGCCCTCCTCCAGGGGATCTTCCCGAGCCAGGGATCAAATCCCGGTCTCCCGCGTCGCAGACAGTTTCTTTACCATCTGAGCCGCCAGGGTAAGTGTGAGTGTTTGAGGAAAGTATTTGCAGCCAGGGTAGGAACCACCCAAAGATTGAGTGAGGCACATCCTCAGACCTCTGCCTGGCTGACAACAACGTCTGCTCTCAACAGGCAGCCTGGAAAACCTCATAGTTCCCATGGCATCAGGTAAAGTCTTAGAATGACTTTGCCTCAATAATGGGACAGGATTATCGTCAAATTAAACAGTACTCTGATAAGACCTATGAGTTTAAAAGGAAAAACTGAAAGGATCAGATTATTTCCAGTTAACTGTGTCCCAGAGCAAAGCTCAGGCACCCCTCGAGGGTTCATGGCACACACTTTGAGAACTGCTAGATGATGAGACACCTCATAGTAAAAGCTTTAAATCCCCGGATTAACGGAGACAATTTAAAAGGTCTTGTAAGAAAGGAAGAAATGGGGATTTTTCTCATGATCTGTGCCACCCCCAGTGGTGCCTTCTGGTTGTGACGTCAGGAAGAAGAGGTCAAAGTACAGAACTTTTTAAGAGGTCCCTGAGAACTTGGTTATTCAAACCTGTTACTATTGATGGAGGACCCTGACTGTATCATGCATCTTTCCAGGAACTCAGGGCTGTATAATTCAGATTTTGCTGTACCTGCTTCTATGATTCTGTGTTAAAGTGCCTATTTTATGAGAAGGAGAGCAGTTCTATATACTGTTGCTCCCAGCTGTGGGAGGCCATATCATTTTTGGTGGCTGTTGAAAGACACTTTCGTCTCAAACAGAACCGTAATCCTGTGGGATTGACCATAATCACTTTTTACAATGCAGACACTTGTTGAGAGTCCCAACACCTCCCTCAGTGCTCCATGTGAGCGGTTGATACGGGATCGGTTGATAGGCAAGCATGGAACTGTAGAGCGTGACTCCATGAACATCCGAAAGCGAAATCCTAAACAGCTGGATAAACCCAACCTGTTTCCAAGATGGCTTCTGGCATCATCATAACTATTTTAATCGTTGCAGGAAGATATTATTTATTCATATATGTGTTTGTGTCTTTAAAAAAATCCTGTTTTATGTAACATCGTAACAATTCAAACCCTCCCCAAACCATAGCTCTAACTCCATTTCCAGTTGCTCTTTCTCTTGAAATGTTCCTTATTATACTTAAATAACTCCTCCTTAACAACTACTCATGTTCTGAGCAGGGAACAAGGTTGCTAACTAAGGATTCCCGGAACCTGAGTTAAGAGACTGACACCTACCTTGATTCCATTGCAGCAGAAACCAAGGATACTGTCATAGTGTCACCTTCAAGGATGGAGCACTGACATTCATCACCATTTAACATTGGAGGAAATTTGACATTCTAACAAATTCCCTAATCCTCTTAAAGGAGCTTTCCTTTGACAAGCAAATACCAGTCTGTTCTGTCTGTGGGTGGAGTCACCACAATATGTGAAGCCCGCCTAGAGAAGGCAGCACATTGTCTCATTGTCCTTGCATTCTGCTCCTGCAGTGGTTTTGGGGAAGCTTTCTTACTTATCTCCTCTCCAAAGTGAGCTCTTTTGTATATATAAATGAGTGAGTCCTTTTGAATGTTGCACAGTGAAATCCTAGACCTTTATCTAAGAAGTTTAAAAAGCCACCCACAAATCCAGGGTCATTGAGATGTTTTCCTCTGAACAAGGTGACTTTTGTTTTACATTGTTGGATGAGAAGGCTAATCAGGGAGGCACAGAGCCAAATAGCAAATAACTCCAAGCTCCTTCCTTTCTCCAGATTACTTCCTTTCCTTGGTAGCTCTCCCTGCAGGGAGAGAGTTAAGGAGCTGGCTGTGTTAAGGACTTCTTTTGTAACAGACAAACAGACTGCTACTTTTTTATTTGTGGAGACCTAATAGGATACTCGGCTTAATCCGAAAGCCAAGATGAAGGCTCCACCTGCGGGAGTTCCCCTCTATTAGTCACATTCAGACCTTTGAAGGAGCACAACTGCCAGTGGCATGTGGCAGGTTTTACTCTTACCTTCTCTTTTTTTAACTGCATGTGGCATACAGAAAAGTGAACTAAATCCTAAAAGTGTTTCTGTTAATCATTAAAATGAAACAGTGATAATGCAAGGTTGTATGCTGTTTTTAAAAAATTCCAACATCTGTAGATACAGTTTCTTGGAAGTTTCAGATGTGGAACTTTGCCGTGCACGCACTGGAGTAGGCAGAGGGGAGTCAGTTCTGCACAATTACAGAACTCCTAAGCAGCTTTCATGTCCCAGGGTCATGTAAAAGCTGCTGAACCTTCCTTGTCAACTGGTTAGTGAGGAGGGGCTAAAGCAAGCAGGAGTTCCCTGATAACATTTTCTAGTTAACCACCATTCTGAACCATTTGATTTAGAAAGTTGAAAAGAATTGTTTAGGTTCACAGTCTTTGTGTAGAACAATAGGAGCAGATATGTTTCAGAATTCAGAAAGGTCCAGATTTAGAAGGGTAATAAAATACATGCACTTAAAGCGAGTTCCAGTGGAATCTGGGACAGCACCCCACCATCAAACACGTTAGTATTTCCAAAGGTATGAATATTCACAGAAAGGAACAGCACTCACTGTCAGCTCATAGGAAGTTTTACTGCCAAATATGTTTGCTTAAGTTTGGTTTTTACCTTTCAACTATGGAGTTGCAAATAAGGAGCTGTGGACATATGTTGGAGTGACAGAAATACAGCAAGACAAGCCTGATTGAATCCTGGATATATTGAATAGAGCCAAATCACAGGGTTGACAGTGTATGATCTTATGTGTCTCTTACTGTTCCCTTTTCTGAATTTCTCTTTGCTTATTGGTCATATATTTGCAGGCTTTTGTGAGGAAAGCTAATGTAATTTAATCACTAAACAGTGATTGGCAGATAGTGGCTATTCAGTAAATGTTAGCTGTTAAAATTTTGCCTCTTCCCCCTTTCCTTTTATGAGATAAAAATTTATTGATAACAGTTGTTGCAGTGCTAGTCTGTAAATAGACTTCACGAATATGGATTGCCCTGATTTTACTGGAGAATTAAATGTCTAAATTTTAATATTCAAATTCATTTCTTAAATGACTAATACAACTTTAAAATTTGTTTATAGGATGACTAAACTTTTCAATGATGAATAAATGTTTTGATTAATGTCGTATTTAAATTTCTTGAATGCTTTAATTGTCATTTGCCATTATGAGGCCCCTTTTAAAGTTTCTATCTAGAGACTCATCTTTTAGAAAAATAATTTGAAAAGTACAGTGCTGATGATGCTCATGCTGTCACAAACGTATAACCAAGGTTTATAATTCAGTATATTAGGAAAATGGCCTTGGGACATAAGTCTTTTCCAACTTTACCTCCCAAAATTTTAAAAGAACTTTAATGGGCTTTTCGTGCAAAGCAGTTTAAAGTGTATTTTGTAAAAGAAATAAATGCACAGACATAGAAAATAAACTTGGTTGGTTATTTACCAAAGTTTGTTTGGTAAACTTATGGTTAGCAAAGAGGGAAGCAGAGGAGGAATAAATGTAGAAGTTTGGGATTAACATATACACAGTGCTATATAAAAGAGATAACCAGTGAGGACCTACTGTATAGCACAGTGAACTCAATGAGTTGTAATAACCTATAGAGGAAAGGAACCTAACAAAGAATGTGTGTGTGTGTATAATTGAATCACTTTGCTACACACATGAAACTAACACAGTGTTGTAAAACAACTTAAGGTTTTTTTCAAAGGCATCTTTTGTAAAGTAGACCTTTACTTTTAAAGTCATAAGGCCTCCTTTTTTTAAAAGGGGAAGAACAAAAGCAGAAGGATTTCAAGAGAAGAAAGAGGTTAAGCTACTTGATGAGCATATGCCCTACAGGACTTACTAGCATTTGAGTGGGCAGAGTGGATCTGCCTATATTTATATGCGTTGTATCACCTGCCTTCACAGCTGAACTATCAGCAGAAAGTAGGCATCATGTACTGCAAAGCTGGACAAAGCACGGAAGAAGAGATGTACAACAATGAATCGGCCGGCCCAGCCTTTGAGGAATTCCTCCAGCTGTTGGGAGAACGCGTTCGGCTCAAAGGATTTGAGAAGTATCGTGCGCAGCTTGACACCAAAAGTAAGAAATACTTATACCCTCCTACCAGGCTTATTGTCCTCCTGCTGTGTTGATGTTCTCCTGCTAAGTCACCCATGAAACAACACGGCCACTAACTGTAGAATAGTGCTGGTGATGGGGGAGAGGAAGCCAGTGGGGGAGGATGTGGCTTTAACACAGTTGAAGACCATAAACAAAGCATTTAGGATTGGAGTGTAAGAAAAAGTAGTGTTATTACAAGCGTGGAAGGTAGGAAGCAATGCATGGAGATCGTGCAGAATTCCTCCTTGGTAGTGTTGCCTAAGCTTCAATGTATTTAGCTGAATGTTAGAGTGACTAAGAACTCTTGCAACTTAACAACCTTTTGATCATAAGCCCCAGAAGTCTTGACTTTCATTAACTCATTTCATAATCCTTCTCCATATCTGTGCAGTCAGCTATTGTAGGGTTTTCTTAATCACTTTTATATTTTACTGTCTTGAGATATTTTTATTTTCTGTTGTTATTTGTTCATAGTCTAACTTAATCTCCAAGCAAACAGGCTTCTTAGCTTTGGTATTAGTTTGGCTAATAAAATGTGTTGATTAAAATCACACTAGTGCAGCAGTCTGTTTATCTACAGCTCATGAACATAGAGGTTTGTCCATTCCCGTTTCCCAGGTGGTTAATAAAAGAGTTAGGTTCTCAAATATCTAGAGTATGTTGACTTCTGCTGTGTATCTGTGTGGAAGCAAATTTTAAATTTTATCTCAGTATCCATCCACAGACACCTGTGACCTGTTTTTCTTTGAGAGGGTCTTTGGATTAGCACATCTGTATTGCAGTCTATAGTAATCACTCTCATTTTCTGTACAGGAAATTAAATAAGGAGTCGAGTCATGAAAACAGAAAAGCATTCATAAACTCCACTGCAGGGAAGAATTTCCTGTTGCCATGGTTTTGCTGTTGCCAACTTGGAAACGACATGCAAGAGAGCCTATGAAAAACCATAAATAGCCTACCTACACTCTTAAATATTATTTTAACGTTCCATACTCTGCTTCCAACTGCAGAAAATATTAAATCTCAATATGCCCATAAATTCTTTTTATCAAGATATTCTGACATTTACTCTGTCATTTGTTCACACTGTCCCAGTTTGTTGTGTTATGTAAATTATAATCACCACAAAGAACTATTAAAAGGGTCTGGGAGGAAAATGTAATAAGAGCCTTGATTCTATCAATGAATGGTCAGATTGGGAGTTGGTAAGATTATTTATCATTTCCTGGTCCTTCACTATCTCCTGGATTTTGCTCAAACTCATGTCCATTGAGTCCATTTATTATTTGTGTATTTACACGTTCCTAGCCATCTCTTGATGAAAGGACAATGTGAGAAATGTAGATAGCAGGGCCATTCCTAAGCAATGTGGCATCATGTAAGGCAGTGGAATAAGCAAAATAAGCACTTTGCACATTTTGCCCCAATATCCCAATAACTGCAAAGACCTTGATTGGTAAACTGCCTCTAGTGGCACATTTTACGGTTATGTAATGCATAAGTCAAGGACAGGTTCCTTTTCACCGAGCTATTCTCCTTTGTGGCTCCTTGTAACCTTCTGAGGCATAGCTCCTGGAAAGGCGGGTTCACAGGTTCCTTTTCTGTCCTCTCAGAGGGTCATTTCCTAAAGTCATTGAAAAGTAGGAAAGTGTTTCCGCTCTAAAGCTTGAAGAAGACAGTATGCATATTTATCTCTCTTACTCCCAGCTGAGAAGGACTATTAGCGTCATCACTTAAAGGGGTATTAAAAAATAATAGACCAAAAGACATCAAGATCAACCAGCCCCTGCGCACCCCAGCAGCCTTTACTGGCCATGACACACCCAGAGATGAGACTTGTTCGTTGTGCTGTGAGATGATCTCACCACCTCTTACCTAATCTTAAATTGTGTTAAACTCTTTCAATATAATGCTTAAAAAAGAGAAAATGCTTTCGAGAACATGTGTTCTGAAAGGATCTCTCCCTCTCTATGTGACAGTGTAGTTGTCACTTGGATCTGTGGATTTGTAATCTTAATCAAATTCAAACATTGTTTGTCAAGCTCATTTTATTTTTCTGCACTTCATCTTCTGAATCTCCAATTATACACATACTGAGTCACTTACTAGTTGTGATTTAATTTTTAACATCTCCTCCTCCCCTGCCCACCATGCTTATGTTTGGGAAATTCCTATTAATGTTTTCAGGTTCACTGTGTTTTCTTTTCTCCCACTGTTTCTTAGTCTGCTGTTAGTCAATCTAGTGAAATTTTTATTTCAGATATTGTGATTTTTAAGTCCAGAGGTTGCATTTGGGCCTTCTCTCTCTCTCTCTTTTTCTTTTCTCCGTTACCCACCCCCTTTTTTTTGGAGTAATCTTATATTTCCCATTTTCTTCTCATTAGGTTCATGTCCTTTCAAGCCTTGTTTGAAACAGCTGTTTCAAACTGTTTGCATGCTAGTTCCATCATCTCTGTCATTTGGGGTCTCCTTTTAGCAGATTTTCTCATGCTTTTGAGTTACATTTTATTTCTTCATATGTCTGGTTATTTTTGATTGAATACTGGACATTGTGAATGTTTCACCATTGAGGATCTGGATTTTGTCCTCTTCTTTAAAGATGTTGTTTTTATTTTGGTAGGCAATTAAGTTAGTTACAGAAGAGTTTGATCTTTATGAATCTGTTCTTACATGTTTTTAAAGCATAGAGTAGTTTTTGTTGTTGTTCTTCAGTCACTAAGTTGTATCTGACTCTTGGCAACACACCAGGCTTCTTGATCCATCACTATCTCCTGGAGTTTGCTGAAACTCATGTTCATTGAGTAAGATATGTCATCTAACCATCTCATCCTCTGCCACCCCCTTCTCCTTTTGTCTTCATCTTTCTCATCATCAGGGTCTTTTCCAGTCAGTCAGCTCTTCACATCAGGCTCTTTAGTTCCTCTTCACTTTCTGCCATTAGAGTGGTATTATGTGCATATCTGAGATTGTTGATATTTCTCCCAGCAGTCTTGACTCCAGCTCGTTAGCAGTCTATACTCTTTGGCTAATTTACTGCTCTTACTAAGGCATGACTTTTCTTGCACCTGAATACCAGCGTATTCAGCGAAGTATCTCTACTATGACTGGTCAGAACCTCAGTGTCTTCCAGCCCTGTGTGAACTGTGGCTGACAGTTCTCTGGCAGTTATTTTCCCAACAGTTTTCCTTTTCTTTCTTTTTTTTGTAATTGAGGTATAATTGACATACAACATTGTGTTTGTTTCGTGTGTACAACATAATGACTCAGTGTTTTTGTATATTCCAAAATGGTCATCATAATAAGTCTAGTTAACATGTATCACCATTCCTAGTTTTTTTTTTTTTTTTCTTGTGATGAGAACTTTTAAGATCTTAGCAACTTTCAGCTATTCTATATAGTGTTATTAACTGTAGTCACCGTGGTGTACATTACCCTGATATTTTTTCTTTTCCTGGCTTTTGGAACCCCACTCTACTCTTGTGCAGCTTAATGTTCAGCCCAAGACTCAAGGGAACCCCTGTGCAGATTTCTGAGCCTCTTTCACTGTGTAGTTTCCTCCTCTTCAGTATTGTGCCCAGCAAATATCAGACACACCTCAGCCTTCCAGACCTCCAGCATGTTTTGGCTTCTCTCTTCAAATCCCTCCTCTGTGTGATTGTTTTGAAAGTACTTTCCAGTAGAAAGCTGGGTAGGATCATAGGCTCATCTCCTTTGATACTTCTTCCTGCAAGATCACTATCCAGTGTTGCCTATTGTAAGATGTCTTGAGGGAAAAAAAGTTGTTTCAGATATTTTATATATTTTTCTATTTATTTACAATAGGAGAGCAGGTCCTATACCAAGTACTGTTATGGCCAGAAGCAAAGGTCCTGGATGCTTTCTATATGTCGTCTCATTTAACCTCCACAAACTCTGCTAGATGCCAGTCATCCCCATTTTACAGACTAAGTTTCTTTAGATTAACTAGTGTCCCCAAGGTTAGGTAGCTAGTAAGCATTACGGAGGGAGAACATATCCTAGTGTTATGGTTAATGATGTTTTCAGAGAAAGTATAAATGTAGAATTAAGTACAGTGATGCCCAGAGGTGTGGTTTGTGGCTGTGCCATCCCCTCTCTTGAGCCCTTGGACTAAAATTACTCAAGCAATCTCATGAAATAGCTCCACTTGTCATGTATTCAGATTTTAGTGCTTTGGTAAAAAAAAGAGAGGCTCAGGAAAGGAAGGTTTGATGAAACTGTTGAACCATTTCTTCTTATTCCCAGTTTTCTGTACAAAGTCCCAATTTCTCATTTCATAAATAAGGACTTCCAGTGAACAAGCTACAGTTGTGTCAGGGGTTGGAACAGTTCTGCAATGAAAAATCTTTCCAGAGTGAATTTTTTTCTCCGTTTTTGTTTCCTTATTTGGATAGCATACCTCTAGATAATTGCCATCCCCTCCCACTACAGTAAATACAAAAATAAGCTTACCACCAAGCAGTTTGTTATTTGAAAGCCGGGAGACCACCCTCATTTTAAGTTGTGTATGTGGATTATTATTTGGGAAATTATTTCCTAAATAAGGCGCGTTTGTCAAGTCAGCATGCAGGAGACTTAGAAACTCTGAAAAAGCATTCCTTCAGAGCTCTGCCTTCATTCATTTGCCACAGTTTTAGTGAATGCATGTTGCTTCCCTCATTTTTCATCAGTGTTATAATGATCACTGAGATTCAGGGTCTTAGAATAGATGTAAGACTTTTCATAAAGAAAATAAATCCTTTATTTGGGATATTTAACCTTTGATAAAGAAAAGAATAAAACTAGCACTATTTAAATGCTTTGCACATTTAAAGGACCATTTGGAGTTGTAGAGACTGATGAATGAAGAAAACTTTTTTCACCTCCTTAACTTTGAATTGTGTTAGAGTATCAGATTTTTCTCTTGAGTGTTACTGAGATGAAGTTGGCCAAGAAATTGAAATATGTAAAAGGCCCTGTTTAAGTCAGCTATACTTTTAATCTCAACTACACAAAATTGTAAATTCCAATCAGTGCGTTTCTTAAGCATCTTTTATAGGCTAGTACTTTCAATAGACATTGTTTCACTCAATCCTCACAACAATGAGAATATCGAGGGGCAGAGAAGTAAAGTGACTTGTCTGTGGTTATTTAGCAAATGATGCTGGAGGCGTTGGAATTCAGATTGTCTTACTTCCAAGTTGGAATCCAGGTAATTGCAGATATTTTGCAAAGTGCTCTGTATGTAGAAAATAGACTGATTCCTAAGTACCCACCCCGCATCATTGCTTATCCTTTTCTCACAGGATGTTAGTGGTTTTAAGAAGCCTTCAGTTCCAGGCATGTACACATGCACGCATGCATATTCCTTGAACTGACACCCAGTGTGAATTCTCCTGTCACGGCAAAGGGTGGTATTACAGACTCTTCTTGATCCCATCCTCAGTGAAGTAAGCCACCTCCTGATGATTATTAAAGATACACTAAAAAAAATGCAAGTAAATATGGTAGATGCCAGAGCAGATGGGATTCTTGCTTTCCCCAAATACTTCGTTAGTGAATAGATGAAATAGTACTGAAGGGCAGGTGCATGTCTCATCTAAAATGCATGCCACTGTTCCAGGTGTCAATACTTGTTCCCAGCTGTGCTCCTTCCAAGCACTGACCTCTGTATCCCAAACCCAGAGGCAAGCTTATCTACTAGGGAGAGCTGGAGTCTTTAAATGGATGGTCCTTAGCAGCCAGCTGATGATTATTCTATTGGTATTTCAAACTATGGATGATAAGCAGTCCCGCTACCTGTCTGGGATTTCATCTTGTGCATTTTATGTGTCCTACAGTGGTGAGGACCTTCACAAACTGAGCTTAAACTGTCTTCATTCTGTTGACTTTCTTAGTCTGCTTGCGTTTAGCTCATGACATTGATTTTCTCCTTGTAGTCATAAAGATTTAAAACTAGGAACTTGCACAAAATCAAATTGCTTAGGCTTGTTTTCCTTTATCCAGCTTTTCTTAACTCAGACGTATCTGTTAGTGACCAGGAAGTGGTTATATAAAAGTCGAATTACTTTTTCCTGATTCAGATTCGTATACATCCATCTTTATCATTCAAGTTTTATCCCCCTTAAAGCAAAAGACTTTCACCAAGAGAAGTCAAGAATGAATATGACATTGACCATATCTGAAACTGCTTCTACAAACTTATTAACCTATATATACCATCTTTAAATAGAAGTGCCTATTGTAGGATATTATCACTTATCTACACCTTTTCAAAGCAGCTGAAAAGAATATTTTTATCATTCCTCAATTACCCATTGCCTTCTTATCGTCTAGTTTGAATATGAGAAATTTTACTTTCTATGACTTAGTGTAGAGGGCTGACCTTATTAGTGGATATACACCACTCACTGGTAGTATAATTTGGAGGCAAATCATGTGATTATCAAGATGACCTATAAGATGCCTGAATTTATTTTTTAACTTTTAAAGCTCCATACAAATATGAAGGAGCATTATCTTCTTTTTATCCCTCTTCTATAAGCATATTTTCCCTTTAGAAATTACTCAGTACGTATTCTTTTCAACCAGAGGAAAAAGGATTTTTGTCACAATGATCATCTTCTGTGATTTTCTTTCCTTTTCATTCTGTTTAATTCCGATGCCTTATTCTTCAGAGAGTATAACAAACCTTCATTTTCCATTTTCTCTGATAAAGTTTAGCAATGCTATTGTGTACATAGTAATTTCAAGATTCTGGAATTCCTTTCTTCTCAGAAAAGAAAATTTAATTGTTTTGACCCTAGTTTCATCACTAAAAGTTTTGAAACGGCTTCCAAACTGTTTAAAATTATCCGCAAGGCTGGGATTTTCAAAGGTCCCCAGAAGAAGACTGGTCATATAGCATCTGTTGTATAAAATGCAGCAAGTGTAGGAAAGAGAGAAAGGACAATAAATATAAAAAAAAATTATCTTCAGGGTCGTCTTCACTTTTCTTTCATGACAGTAATACCTTTAGAATTAGACATATAAAACAAAATATAATAAAAAAACCTTTTTTTTTAGTTCATTAATTTTGCTTAAAATTGACTTGAGACACACATAAGTACTCATCAGGTTGACACATTGACTTGAAAGTTGTAAAATGTGCCTATCAGTTCTGGAGCTATTTATACCAAGAGTCTTTAACAATGGATACCTTCTTCATACTCAAGACCTGTCTTAAGTTGGTCAGTGAGTTATTGTAATTAATTTGTAGTTTTTTTTTGTGGTAGTGGTCATTAACATTTAGAAGATATTTTTCTTGGGGAGTTATGTTTTGGTGCATATTTTTGCAGTTTTTCAAAAGTAGTCCTTGCTTTATTCTACATTTATCTTGATTTTAAAACCGTTGGCATTTTATGCCCTCTTCAAAATTAAGATCCTCTGAGAAGCTCAAGGTTGAAACTAAGGGCCCTAGAATATCTTAGCAAATCTCTGCAAACTGCTGTTGTGGTCTATTCTTGGAACAGTGCCTAAGGGCGGTGCAGGTACTGCATTCGAGTCCCCTAAGGGTATTTATTAAAATGGATCATTCTGCCCAGCCCCGCACCTCCAGAGCAGTATTTCTGGACGTGGGGGATAGGAAGCTGCCTTTTAAGCGGCTCCCCAGGGGACTCCAGGCACACTCCAGTTTGAGAACTGCTGCTTTATGCTACATGCCAGAGGCTTTGATTTGCTGCCTCATTCTCTAAAATGCTCCTCAACAACATGGTTGATGAAGGATTGAGTTTACCCAGAATGAATGCACTTCCGTTCATTTTGCTGCCTGTAAGTCCAGGTCCTTTAAGGCTAAAGAGACTTCCCTTCAACTGGCCAGTTAATAAGTCTCTTTGGTTTCCAAGTGTTTACGGACACATTGATTTGTCAACAGTCAAGGAGGTCAAAGTTTTTTTTTTTTTTTTTCATAAGGAAAGTGAGCGCAGACACATGTAGTCTTAAACTGTTCAGTTCAGTTCAGTCGCTCAGTCGTGTTCCGACTCTTTGCGACCCCATGAACTGTAGCATGCCAGGCCTCCCTGTCCATCACCAACTCCCGGAGTCCACCCAAACCCATATCCATCAAGTCGGTGATGCCATCCAACCATCTCATCCTCTGTTGTCCCCNGAACCAGTCTGTTGTTCCATGTCCAGTTCTAACTGTTGCTTCCTGACCTGCATACAGGTTTCTCAAGAGGCAGGTCAGGTGGTCTGGTATCCCCATCTCTTTCAGAATTTTCCACTTAAACTGTTAGACATTGCTATAATACCTTTGTTACTCAGTGTTACAATCTTGTTAAGTTTCCATCTATTTGTTAAGAGGAAAACAGTGGTTCTCTTGCTTGAGTGAAAAGTATTGGAAAAGAGCTCCTGAACTTGAAGTTTGTGGGCAGAATTCAGGGGTCTGTGAACTTGGGTGGGAAATAATTTTACATTTATTTTCATTGATCTCTAGTTGAAATTTAGCATTACCTTCAATTATGAATCTAGGCAACAAATCACAGTAGTATATGTTCCACCTGTGATTTTACCAACCGAAAATAGGTATTTTCATATCATGTTGTTGTGGAGGTATCTCAAGATACTGCTTATGCACTTTACTAGGTCAAAATTATAGTAGTTATTAGACCTACTGCTAAAACTTTTTACAGAAATCTTATGCTATTACGTCATTTTTAAATTATTTTGATAGTATTTTTTAATCCATTGATTTCTGTTGAAATTTATATATTTTGTCTTTGTTGTTGTTGTTTAGTTGCTAAGTTGTGTCCAACTCTTTTGTGACCCTGTGGACAGTAGCCCACCAGGCTCCTCTGTCCATGGGATTTTGCAGGCAAGAATACTGGGGTGTGTTGCCATTTCCTTCTCCAGAGAATCTTCCCCACCCAGGCATCAAACCCATGTCTGCCACATTCGCAGACAGATTCTTTACCACTGAGCCCACCTGGGAAGCCCATATTTCATTGTATCTGTGCATTTACAAATATTTTTCTAAGAAGGAATCCATAGGCCTCACTAGACTGCCGAAGGGGGATCAGGTATAAATGATGGGTAAAAACCCCTATAGCAGATCTTAACTAGGATCTTTTCATCCTAAACCATTTCCTGCCCCCCGTCCCCTTGAGATGTCTCTCTTAAATGAGCTATTTTTCCTATTCTTACAATTGTCTCTCTCTCTCTTTTTTTTTTTTTTTTACTGTAGCTGACTCCACTGGAACCCATTCTCTGTACACAACATACAAAGACTATGAGATCATGTTCCATGTTTCTACCATGCTGCCATACACACCTAACAACAAGCAACAGGTGAGAGATCCTCGTGTTTTCTGTGTGTTTTTTCACCCTTGTTTCATTTCCCCCAGAAGCCTAAGTGGCAAGTTTGTAAAATCTTAAATCAGAGTTTAATGTTGCACCTGTCACAGCAGCAGGAAGCTTTGTACTTTGTGTGGAAGTAATAGCAAATGAGCTGAAAACAAATGAAGAGACACAAATTCTAGGTTAACAGCCAGCTGGATGGCATTGTGAATTAATCATTTGCTTTTCACCCAGGAGGATTGAGGTTTTCCTGAAATCTGAAAAGAACAAGTTGAAGTCATGGTGATTAGATGACTCTGCGGGGTTACAGAGAGCACATATGAGTGGGTGAAGTTTCATCTCAAGAGGCCAGTGTACAAGGCAGGAAAGTTCTGATGTTTCATTTCAGATTTCAAAGGAGGTTTCCTCTACTTACTTGGAGAAAAGTCAAAATAAATGTCAAATCTGGGATCTCAGAGAAATTTTTTTTTTAACGTATCCATCAGAAAATGGCATAAGTAACGGTTGCGTTTGTGTACCTCATATACAGATTTCTTTTCAAAAGATCTGAAAGCACAATGCCTATTACTAAAATGTAGTCAGTGAGATGATAAAATGTGAAAACTAAGAAATGGCAGATGGTTACAGAGCGAGATGGAAACTGGTAGTATTGTTTTAAAGAGTATGTGGCACTAGTTGGTTTTTAAAAATGTTTTAGAACAAATGATACCAAACTGAAACTTAAAAGACCCAGAGAACTAACAGACTCTACTTTCAATAGCTCTTATAAACACAGCAGTCTTAAATCACTCCTGACCTTAAAACAGACATAGATTTTGTTATTGTCAATTGTTGTTCTGACAGAGCACAGGCCAGCTGCAGAATGAATCACATCCTCTTTCACAGAATTTCACAAAACAGGGATCAAATCTAACACGTCGTCACTTAAGTTTGATTACATCATACATGTCAGTAACAAAATTTTACCTCTCTTGATTCCCAAAGTAATCAAGAGTAGAAAACAAAGCAGTGAGTCAGCTATAAATCTGAAATAAACCCATTTTAAGATAAATTCCCTGATCTGGAGTTTGTTGACTGTTTTATGCACATTCCCAATTCTAGATTTCTTAGAGGAAAATACCATGCTAAGAAAAATATACTGAACTCATTCTGACCAGACAGTAGAGAGATTTTAAAAACATTAGCAGATGATCTTCACAGGGAAGATGAAGCCTTATTCTACCTGATTACTCAATGGAGAAGGGCTTCCTAAGTGGCTCAGTGGTAAAGAATCCACCTGCCAATGCAGGAGATGTAAGTTCCATCCCTGGGTCAGGATGATCCCCTGGAAAAGGAACTAGCACTCCAATATTCTTGTCTGGAAAATCTCATCGGCAGAGGAACCTGGAGAACTACAGTCCATGGGGTCGCAGAGTCGGGCGGGACTTAGGGACTAACCAGCACTCAGCAGAGAAGAGTAACATGGGGAGTGGGGGTAAAACATTCAGTAACAAGATTCAGTTGTTTATATCCAGCTAGATAAGTTAAAGTGCTGAGCTGAGTTAGTTGCCATCTAAGTGGACAGCTATCTAAATTATTTAATTTGGGGTCCAATCAAAGCAAAAGTATTATGATCGTAAATCAGAATGAAAGAAGTAATTGGTATTCTGCATATTAATAAATTTTAATTCTCTAGTTAAAGAATTTATTCTATATAGATTACAGTATGATTAGAAAAACCAGAAAGAATGTCTTAAAATCTTTTTGCAGGTATTGATTTATAAACACTGTCTTTTTTTCATTATATATATTGCAAGATGGATAGATGGATTTATTTCTGTGTGGGTCCTTTAGTAAGTAAGATTACATATCAAGCCGTATTTTGAAGGAAGGATGACAATGCATCAAAAAGTAATGACATCCATGCAGGAATGACATATACATAGATAGATTGTATTTGAGTTAGATGTGTTCAAGATCCTGAATAGATTAATAATCTTTGATAACAGGTATATTTTATTTAGCAGTCAATAGGGAGTAGCCTTTATTTATGTCACAGCTGATAATAGAGCATGTTTAGAAATGAAGTAGACAGCCTCATTAGAAGATAATTTGGGATGCTTTAAAATTCCTAAGGTTAAAAGTACATTTCACGAACTTCCTAACTCCCAATTCTCAACCCTAATCTAATGCTGTTGTTTCTCCAGTATTGGCCAGCAGCCAGTACTTGATCATTGATTTTACTGGTATGTAATCTGTGTAAGTTAAAGTCATTGGATAAGTTTTTCCTTAAGATTTATAAATATAAGTTTGTCTCTAATGAATAGTTTATGTAAAGGCCGTGTTTAGTTGTTCTCCTCCTGGTAGGAGGCTCCATGTAATAAATACGAGTAATACAAATGTTGTTCAGTTTTTCTTCACATGATTGAGCTAAACTGCTTAAGCACCCCTCCCAGAGAGGCACTGACCTGGGATGATTCATTCGGAGGGTCTGAAATTGAAAGCCACTTTCCCTAAACACCTTTTAATGTGAAACAGAAGGTGGTCTTAAACAGCTTTCACTGTAATTAAAGCAGTTATTTAAACCTGAAATTTAACCTGCTATAAAACTGTTAGAACATTCTGGAATATTATTAATTTCTGCGTCCCCAGCTTGTGCCACAAAAAGTATTATCAGAAAACACCTTAGCCCCATTTCTTTAAATGAAGCTAATTGAATCAGAACATAAATTATGTTGTAATTACTTCAGCAATTCTCATCTTTTAAAAAAATCTTCCCCGTGGCAAGTTTCTTTCTTATACGAAAATGGAACAAAACTGTTGTTATGGAAACTGAGGATTTGGAGATGCTGGGACTTGGCGTAATATGCTAGAGATTGGTTAGATCTGTTTGAATGGACTATGTATTTTATGCAAATTTCTGAATATTCATTTCCATAGCCTTCCTTAGAGGAAATGATAAGACACACTAAAATAATGACAATAACTGTGTAGATTTCCTCCCCTAATATGCACTGATTAATAATGAATGTTTTAAATACAGTTACATAAGGGAATCGAAGAGGAAAAAGCAGAGCGTCGTCATTTATGTTGTTTGCTTATGTTTTCTTTTAGCTCCTACGGAAGCGGCACATTGGAAATGACATTGTAACAATTGTTTTCCAAGAGCCCGGAGCACAGCCATTCAGCCCGAAAAACATACGATCCCACTTTCAGCATGTTTTCGTCATTGTCAGGGTTCACAACCCCTGCACTGACAGTGTCTGTTACAGGTAATGGCTCCAGAGGTGGCTGGATGGGCGTTGGCGGGTGGTCACATTGAAGGCCCCCTCCAGTTCTTCTTTCGGAAGTGGCAATGGAAGTCTATCACTATTTATTTCTGCCTTTAAACTGTGCATGCGGATGGCCAGATTCACAGGATGACGTAACCTGGTGGCACTGACATTCCCTAGACATGTTGGTTAGACACCTGCTGTTTGCATTCGCACCTCCTCCTTAGGTGGTGTCCTTCATCCACACCATCTGGTCACCAGCTAATTACTCATTCTGCTAATTATATTTTGCTTTTGCCATGGCAAAAGCAGAGAAGAATAATCATAATAAGTAGGGAATAGTGAAAGTGAAAGTCGCTCAGTCGTGTCCAACTGTTTGCAACCCCATGGACTGTGGACTAGACAGTCCATGGTATTCTCCAGGCCAGAATACTGGAGTGGGTAGCCTCCCCCTTCTCCAGGGGGTCTTCCCAACCCAGGGATCGAACCCAGGTCTCCCACTTTGCAGGCAGATTCTTTACCAGCTGAGCCACAAGGGAAGCCAAATAAGTAGCAAAGAGAAGTTTAATTTTTAAAAAATTATTGCACTTATTTTTAAAAACCCAAACCTTTGCTTCAGACTGATTTGATTCACTGTAACATTTCTGAATTCAGTCTTAGAGGCTTTGTGTTTGGTGGAATTGTTTCCGTGTCCCTCATTGATGTAGTCTTACGAGTTACAGAATTCAAGATCTACCTGCAGTGGCTTCTGCAGGAATCCTGAAGGGGATTAGTGTTGAAGAGAGTAAGAACCTGTGATGCTGGATTGACATGAGTGTCATGCCAAGATGTTTTGAGGATGTTCTAGCATGAGTAAGATGTCCTAAGAGGAATCTGTCCTTTTAGAATATGAAAGTTTATTGTATTTTTCCACCCCTGAAATTTGGGAGACAAGGCTTTGTTAATTTTGAATAGTTGTTTTTTATTTAATGTAGCCATCTATACAGAAAGTGGCCAACCTAGGCTGCTAATTGGTTTGTTGTGAAATCTACAACTGTCTAATCCTAGGGGTAAGGCAGGTTAATTATAGGAGAACAAGCAAGTTCAGGGAACAGACAAGTTAAAGTTACCCCTATTGACTGCCATCATCCCTGCCCATTCCACAGTAACTACGTCTGATGAGCTCCTGATAAGCCCAGCTCTAGTTTAGGTATCTTATTTGTATCATTGCCTCACTCCATTTTTAAAACCTATGAAGTGGCTTACCTGGTGGCTCAGACCATAAAGAGTCTACCTGCCATGTAGTAGACCCAGGTTTGATCCCTGGGTCAAGAAGATACCCTGGAGGAGAAAATGGCAAACCACTCCAGTATTCTTGTCTGGGAAATCACATGGACAGAGGAGCCCGGCGGGCTGCAGTCCATGGGGTCACATAGAGTCGGACCCGACTGAACGACTAACACTTTCAGGAGGTGGGTACTGTTTTAATCCCCATTTTCAGAAGAGAAAACTTCAGCGTGTGTGGATAGGTAACTTGCCTGAGGTCAGCTGGTACTGGGCAGAGTGTCGGTTTGAATGCACCACGTCTAATTTTAGAGTCTTGGCTCTTAACCACTCGGCCCTGCTGCCTCACCCCATGCCATGTGAAATAGGGTCTTTGCTCCCCTACTGCCAACCTGCAGGCTCTTCCTGAATTTCTCAGATGCCAAGTCTATGTGAAAACCCCAAACCAGGGAGGTCTGTAGTTTCCTAGACTCGGTGGATGGAAACTCAAGCAAAGGAAGCCTAGAACTGAAGCCTCTTAGCAAGAATATGGTCTCCAAAAGCTGCGTTAGTTAGGTGTAGAAGGAAAGAATTAATGTAGAACATTTGACTGTAATTGGGATGGATAACTGAGTTTAGAAATTACACCCAAGCAGTGGAAATGTTCTGTGTACTGGATTCCTGCAAAGAATTTCATATGACTTTGTGGATAAAAAGCTAAATCCTGTTTTGAATCATCTCTAGGATGTTTGGGGAATGGAAAGCTATGTACTTTTCTTTTAAAAAGAGATTCTTCTTTTAAAGGTCTTTGTCTTAGTAAATCACTGTCCAGTAGAAATATAGTGCAAGTCACATATTCATTTTATATTTTCCAATAGCCATATTTTTTAAAGTAACAAGAAATGGGTAAAATTAATTTTACCAGTAGGTTTTTGCCCAATGTAAAGTGAAAGTCCCTCAGTCGTGTCCAACTCTTTGTGACCCCATGGACTGTATTTTGACCCAATAATATATATTATTTACCTGTGATATCCAAATATTATAATTTCAACATATAATTTTTAAATTTTAAAAATCATTGAGAAATCTTACATATTTTTGGACCAAGACAAATCTCAAGTGCATTTTTGATTTACAGCTCACCTCAGTTAGGATGCTCAATTTTCATTGGAAATAATATGTATTTAGATATCACAAAAATTGCAGTTGGAAAAGTACATTCATGATAGCTTATTCCAAGCATACTTTTAAAAGACTTTTGGAAAACTGAATCAAGTGACAATTTTTAAAATTTAGTATATTTGAGAGAACAGCATCGAACATGTATATTATCTAGGGTGAAACAGATCACCAGCCCAGGTTGGNTTTTCCTGTTAAAAACTTCAGGTACCTGGGTTTTTCTCAGTCCTTCTCAAATTCAGGTAGACATGTTTCCTGGGGTATGTGGTGATGCCAGATGTTTATAGGCCCAGAATAACTAGGGTACCTCGCTTGTAGTCTTTAATGCTTGGGAAAGGGATGTGAAGGTTTCTTTTCTCATGAAAACGTGTTAGGAAGTAGAACGGAAAATTTGTACCAATTTTAAGATAAAATGTGGGTCTTCAAAGAGTTTTCGTACATGTGGGTTTTTCTCATACTCCAGTCCCTCCCCCAAACTACTAGGGATATGAATTCCTAGACCTCTTTCATTAGGGAGACTCTGATGGGAAAGCTTAGTGATACATTTAATTTATACAAATTTTATTTAAATATACTTTTAATTTTATCTGTAAGAGATGTAGTTAGACTATTCAAATGCTTTCCCTCATTTAAAGTCTCTTGTTCCCAGCTTTCTCCACTGTGAACACTCAACATCTATTTACTGACATCTACTTGGTGCCCAGAGAGTGTGGACAGTTAGTTCCTCAAAGGAGTGTCTTGCTGTAATTGTGTAGAGAGTTGTGGGGTCAGTACAGGCTAAAGATACAAAGAACGTTTAGCTGGGAAAATAAGATTCAGTGTATGTTGTATAGCACAGATGGTGGGATTCAGTGGCAAATTAGAAATAATTCTGAGTCAGGTGGTGGATAGCAGTACAGATGGACACACAAACACAGGAAGGACACTGGTAAGTACAGTAAGAAGGCTGTGTTGTTGGAGAGATTAGTGGGCTGTAGGGGTCCTTGAAATCCTAGGCCTTCAGACAACACCATATAAATAGACTTTTAGGAAAACTCACTCATTGTCAACATGCAAAGTAATTTATATACAAAAATGCAAATTTAGAGTTTATTGTTACTCATTTATTTTTTTGCTAGTTCTTTGCAGCCCTAATCAAAATATGCTAGGCAGTATTCTAGGCTCTAGGATTCAACAGGGGAGCAGAGAGGAAAAAAACAGTCCCTATAGTGAACATGGAAATAAGACTCTGAAATAATGTGTGCTGTATCACCCTGGGAACTATAATAGAATGTTTATACAGGAAAATCTGACTAATCCAAGTTAATTCCAGAGTCTAGTTAACCTTGAATAGTAGACATAGCCAAGAACTCAAATTAATCACTAAGTCTGAGTACTAAAGCTTATCACCATACCTGATAAGAGAGCCCTCTGGTCTCTATTCACTTGTATCATTACAAAGAGCTTAATTGTCTGATTTCAGTTGACAGAATAGATTAGAAGCAACAAATCAAAAAGATGAACCATTTAGTGGCAAGGATGTACTGAAAGCATCAATAAGTGATGACTGATAAAGGGAGATACAGAAAAATGAGTCATGTTTAATGTACAGATTTAATAAGCATAGCCATCCAAGGTCATTTGACTTGGGACCAAACAACCAAATGTACGCCATTTACCCCAAGGGCCTCAATTTATAAAAACACAGTGCAGAAATTTTATGACCATTTTTTTAAACAGCTAATGAATGGATGGATCTAGGCATTGATCATCAAAGGCTGCAAATATCATAAAAAGAGACAAATGTGTGTCTCATAATGGAAGAACACAACCCCATCTAGAAATCAGTCTTACCCCTCTTTCAAAAATTGAATGTGAATTTGATCAAACATCTAGAGAAGCCAAGTTGCAAGAAATATAAAAGACCACAGAACATATTTTTATTCAGGAAAATTCAGGCTCTGGACAACTCTGGAACACATAGCCCAGTTTCTTCAACAAATAAATTGCTAGATATAAAGGGGAGGTAAAGTGAGAAAAGTAGAGGAGCATTAACAGAATTCAGAATTTTAAGATAAAATTAATTAATTGTAATCTATGAGCTTTATTTGGATCCATTTCAGGCAGACTCTTTAAAAATTTTAGGACATCTTTAGCAGTTGAAAGTTGCTTTTTGATGAAATTAAAGAATTATTGTTAACTTTAAAATGAGTGTTGTAATAAGTAGTTTTAATAAATACTCATCTTCAAAACAGATATTAAATTGTGGTCAGGTTAGGAAGTATATATATATATATTATTCCTCTCAGGAAGATTTCCATATTCACTGGTTGAGATGTAGTAAATGTTGAAATGAGTCAGGATGATGTAGTGCAGAAAGCACTTTGAACCAAACCGGACTGTTAAGCATCTCAGATCTTAAATTTCCCTTTCTGTGCAGTAGAAGACTGCTTGACCCCTACCTAAAAATTCCCTAAGTATCTGGTGTAGGCAGGGAATGTGGTATATGCACATTAAATGACCATGCCTTTCTTCTTTCCTTCTCTTGAATAAAAATAAACAAATACTTAAGCTTCAGCTGTGTGTCTCACAGTTGAAAAATCAACTGTGTCTCACAAAAGAAAAATCAGAGTGGATCAAGTGGTGAAATTCTTTCAGAAAGTCTATTCCCAGCCATCATTAATCAGCATCCTTCTTGTCCCGGGTGGCTGACCTCTCTACGACAAGATTCTGAAAATGTCACTCTTGGTGCTAAAAACCATTTAGGCAGTGTTGAGACTCCCTGGCATAGCCTACTGCGTGGAGTCCTTCATTCTGGCCTCTCCTATCCTTCAGCATCTGCTGGCCCCTCTCCCAGTCCTCCCACCCCCGCCCCTCATTTCTTTATTGCTGTTGTCATGGTGCTTCAGAAGTTCAAGAGTCTTAGTCTTCTCACTCTTTTTCATTGAGACCTCTGTTTAGATGTCTCTGCAACATTCCCATGTATCAGCTGTGACTTCATCCAAGGTCTCTGATGCCAGCAAAGCCCCAGGCCCACTGGCAGTGGCCTAATGGTGGTCTCTTTGGCTGTGTGATTCTTGTAGATGGTCCCTTTCACAAGCACCTTAAGAGAGGGAAATTTAAAAACATAGCCCCAGGGAGTAAATGTGATCTTGTCACACTGCTGGTTATCCGGAAGCTCAGATTCCCATCCTGGCTCGCTCTAACAAGCTCTGAGAAATTGTTGTACTTCTCCGAGTCTGTTTCCTGGAGAAGTGAAGAATGCACCAGCTGTTCAGACGGAGGTTCAGGGATGTGTCAAACGGCAGAGTGAAAGAGAACACCTTCCTGGTCCCTCAGTGGTTTCAGGATGAGGGGAACAGAACAGATTTTTGTTAAAATGAATATAGATACTCTTCAGTGGAATGCAAAATCAAGATGAATGTTAAGATGAAACTCAAGATTCTGTTGACAAGAGCTTGAGGAACCCTGACTTCTCTTAAGTGTCCTCCCCCGACCCACTGCTGACTTTCCATAACCCTTTCAGCCTTTGATCTTCTGTCTGTCTTCCAGATAACCCACTTGAGTAGATAACCCTCCCAGTCGTTGACAGTGCTGAGCATGTAAGGCATGGCTATGATTTTAAAGAATGTATTATTTCTCAAGAGATACAGCATTGCATACTAGGCTAAGTGTGGCCAAGAAGCTCTTTGGAATGTGCTTTTAAAAATAGCGAAAGCCATTTATAATTAATTCATCTCAAGTACCTATATATAGCACACTGAAATTCTAGAAAGGCTTCTTTTCTTATAAAGGCAAAGAAAAAAAATCTTTCTACTTAGCTTAAAACAGACCTTATTATCAAGAGTTCAGAATTGGTGGCATCTAAATTAATGAGCTTTTAACCTTGTAGAAAACCTTGAAAGTTAGATTTATCTAACATAAAACCCTTTGTTTGAAAAGAGCATTCTAGGGTATCATCTTCCTCATCTTCTGTAAGGATTCTATTTCTAATGATGCAAAGCTGATTTTAGTGTCTGTATCATTTACCTCCCTACCGTGATGAATCACTGATAATTATATGTTAAGGGTTCAGGTTTTTTTCCCTTATAGTTCATTCTCGAGTCTTCTAATTATCAGTGGGTTTTCAATATATGTTTGTCTAACATTCTATTAGCTAATAAATAGATCTATTAGACAACCCATGAGTTTAAGGGGCAAGTGGATGGATGGTGCCCATATCAACACCTTCTGCTAAACATTTTTCTCTCCTTGTTTAAAATAAAATCTCTGCTGTTTCTTAAGAAAGAATAATGATATGAAATTAGCAAGAGAAGAAATTGTCCATTTAAAAGGGAAAGATATTAAGTATTTCTGGGTCCTTCTGGGTTTCCTCTTAGAAAAGCAAGTGAATCTGGATTTTAGCATCATCTGCTTGACTTGAAGAAAAAAAAAGATCAAATTAAAATTATACAGCTGTCAGCATTCAAGCCAGACAGTTCACATTAGGCAGGAAAAACTGCCTTTCTAATACTGATGTAATTAGCTATTGTGCAGATGGAGGTTTCTGTGAGTTCTCATCTCCAGTTAGAAAATGGGATGTTGCCTGCCACCTTTCTTTGTCATGAAATCAACTAGGTAGTCTTTTTTTTTTTTTTAATAAATTTGTAAAAAGCCATTTTCAGAAATAGGCCATCTTGTGGCATATTCTGACAAAATATATAATTTGTCTCCTGAGGATGCTGATTTTTATTTATTTATCCTACTTTCACAAGCAGTAATCATTTTTGGAAAAGCAAAGCCAAGTATCTTCAAGCAAACCCTTGAAATAAAAAACTGTGCAAGTTTAACTTGAAAGTTGCATGCTCTTTGATTATGTCCTTTCTATTCTGAGAATTCTAGAGAAACAGATTTTGTATTCTTAGTACAGTTGCATAATTGATTCACTTTTAAATAGTTGGATAATTTGAAGAGAGGATGTTTGATCTGTTAGAATCATCATTTCCAGTCCTCTCAAACTTTGTTCAGGTCCTGGAAGGAGATCTTGAAATATGATATAAAACACATTATACTGCCCCACTTTCATTTAATTTCTGTTGTTTTAGGAAAAACTTAAGTCTTTTTCCTTTTGAGATTAAAAATAATAGATTAGTATAGATACTTGTAGAGCCTTGTCTTGGACCCAATTTTAGCAATATAGATGCAAAGGCAGTGACTGGAACAGGCTTTCTTAACTCAATCTTGCTTAAAGGAATGGGGCAAGGAACGTATTTTCCCTACCAATCGTCAGAATCAAATACCAAAAGTAGAGAATTTGGACCAAAGAATAGCTTCATTTAAAAATATGGTTTTAAAGCACTGCTGGTATTACCACATAAAAATGATAATCCTTTTCTCTTATCCAAATATCAAGTTTCATTTTAAAATTATGCTTTTGGGAGAATTCCCTGGTGGTCCAGTGTTAGGACTTGGCACTTTCACTGCTGAGGCCCAGGTTCAATCCCTGGTTGGGGAACTAAGATCCAGCAAGCTGTTTGGTGCAGCCAAAGCAATTTAATAAGAGATAATTTAAAAAATAAAATAAACTCATGCTTTTTGAACTGGTTGCTTAAGGCCTGACACATAGGAAAAAACAATATGTTTAATTTTTTTTTAATCCATTCCTCTTCTTTGAATACATGTCTTTGGATATTTGCATTAGAAGATGACTTCTGTGGTCATCCTGTCTAAAATGGGGACTGCATTTGTGTTTCTCCAGAATCTGTGTTTAGTGACTAAGTCGTATCTGACTCTTTTGTGACCCCATGAACTGTAGCCCACCAGGCTTCTATGTCCATGTGGTTTCCCAGGCAAGAATACTGGAATGGGTTGCTATTTCCTTCTCCAGGAGATCTTCCCAACCCAGGTATCAAATCCATGTCTCCTGCATTGGCAGGTGGATTCTTTACCGCTGAGCTACCTGGGAAGCCCTACTTTTTCACTGCTGAGGCCCAGGTTCAATCCCTGGTTGGGGAACTAAGATCCAGCAAGCTGTTTGGTGCAGCCAAAGCAATTTAATAAGAGATAATTTTAAAAATAAAATAAACTCATGCTTTTTGATCTGGTTGCTTAAGGCCTGACACACAGGAAAAAACAATATGTTTAATTTTTTTTAATCCATTCCTCTTTGAATACATATCTTTGGATATTTGCATTAGAAGATGACTTCTGTGGTCATCCTGTCTAAAATGGGGACTGCATTTGTGTTCCTCCAGAATCTGTGTTTAGTGACTAAGTCGTATCTGACTCTTTTGTGACCCCATGGACTGTAGCCCACCAGGCTTCTATGTCCATGTGATTTCCCAGGCAAGAATACTGGAATGGGTTGCCATTTCCTTCTCCAGGAGATCTTCCCAACCCAGGTATCAAATCCATGTCTCCTGCATTGGCAGGTGGATTCTTTACCGCTGAGCTACCTGGGAAGCCCTACTGTAAAACCTATACTTGTTCTGAAATGTGGTTATAGTAACTGCCCCTCCCCACTTGGGAATAATCACTAAGTATTTTAAATGCTGTCTCTTATAAAGAATATTACAGTTAAATCTTTTTTTTTTTTCATGGAGTTATGGTTGATTTACTGCCTGTTAATGAAAGTTTTTACCTTAAGTTTTTGGGTATTTTAACCTAGAAAAAAATGTTGTTTCCTAAGTCCTAAACATGATTGAATGGAAAAGTATGCTCGTGTTAAGCAGAAGTGTGTGTTGTTCCTTGTGGGAAGATGCCAGTTATTTTCCTTTTGAAGGCTGTCTCTGTCTTTGAGAAAGTGTATTTTACCCTCCTGCTGTGAGTCTGAGAAATGCTGACCAGCCTCTTTCTCACTGGCCTTTCTCTCTGTAGTGTGGCTGTCACCAGGTCCAGAGACGTGCCTTCTTTTGGACCTCCCATCCCCAAAGGGGTCACCTTCCCTAAGTCAAATGTGTTCAGGGACTTCCTTTTGGCCAAAGTGATTAATGCAGAAAACGCCGCTCATAAGTCGGAGAAGTTCCGGGCCATGGCAACCCGGACCCGCCAGGAATACCTGAAAGACCTGGCAGAGAAGAATGTCACCAACACGCCTATTGACCCATCCGGCAAGTTTCCGTTCATTTCTCTGGCCTCCAAGAAGAAGGAGAAGTCGAAGCCATACCCCGGAGCCGAGCTCAGCAGCATGGGGGCCATTGTGTGGGCCGTCCGGGCCAAGGACTACAACAAGGCCATGGAGATGGACTGCCTCCTCGGGGTCTCCAATGAGTTCGTCGTCCTCATCGAGCAGGAAACGAAGAGTGTGGTTTTCAACTGTTCCTGCAGAGACGTGATCGGGTGGACTTCAACCGACGCCAGCCTCAAAGTCTTCTACGAGAGAGGCGAATGTGTGTCCGTGGAGAGTTTCGTTAGCAATGATGACATCAAAGAGATTGTCAGAAGGCTTCAGGTCAGTGTTTTCCTTCCACTTATGTGCATGTCCCTGTCATCAAGCTTTCCATGCAGGTGAGAGCCAAGTTACAGAAGCCCGTCCTGTTTTATTAGGTCCTCTGAAAACTCCCTTCATGGTGGGAAGGAAGCCAGAGTTTATGTCACACTCGCTTCCCATCATTTTTTTCAGCAGGACAAGTAGCAGAACAAGTGGGGGAAGACACCCTGACTGTGCATCTTTGTTGGAAACTCATTTGCATGTGACCTGATCCCATTGCCGTGGTGACTGATGATGTAGCCAGCCAGTCGGCTTCAGCGGGTGAAAGCAGTTGTTGGCTTGAGTATCTGCTGCTTTGAATGTCTTAAGGGCAAAATGAGTAGCAGAACACCCATTTTTCTTCACCGCCAGCTCCCTGTAGGTCTCTGTTAGAGGTTTCATTGTAACTTCAGAGAAGCCATTGAGTTCTTTGGACACAACAAGTGTGTTCCTTTGGGCCTAATGAATGGAGATTAGTGAAGGCAAAATAACCAGCCTGCTCTTCAGCTGGCGTTAGAGTGTTCAGAAATAACCCTGCTGGCCACGCACTTAAGACCCTAGTGGGTTCATCAGACTGTGATGTCTTTTGTGTTCTTTGTCTAGTTCGTGTCAAAAGGCTGTGAATCGGTAGAGATGACTCTGCGAAGAAATGGGCTAGGACAGCTCGGCTTCCATGTCAACTACGAGGGCATCGTGGCAGATGTGGAGCCGTACGGCTATGCCTGGCAGGCAGGGCTGAGGCAGGGCAGCCGGCTGGTAGAGATCTGCAAGGTGGCCGTGGCCACTCTGAGCCACGAGCAGATGATCGACCTCCTGAGAACATCGGTCACAGTGAAGGTCGTCATCATCCCCCCACATGACGACTGCACCCCACGGAGGTAGGTCTGAGAGTCCGGGGCCATTGGTGTAGCATGGAGAACATTCCCCAACTGGGTGGGAGTGTGTGGGGGGGTGTGAAGAGCGCTCGGTTACAGGCGATGCTGAAAGTTCCCTCCACGGAAGGTCTGACTCAGGACACAGCTCCCTTTCAGCATGTGGCAACAGCAGCTGGAAGGAATCACCAGCTTGGACCATTCCCAGGATTTACATCTCTGGGTATATAAAGTCACCATCACAGACAGAGAAGTCTGGTAAATATCCGCTTTAACATCTTGCTCCAGTAGCTGAGAAACATGGAACATTTGATGTTAAGAGACACTCAGCATGACAAACTGCTGGACGGTTTTCTCTTGTGTTCCGTGACCCTGCTTCTCCTGCATCTCCCACTTGTAGCCAGTTGCTGTCCAGAACTCTTGAAGTACTGTTTTTGACCCTTGCTGTCTCAGCCTGGAGGGCTGAATGTGACTTCCCAAGCTTTTTCTTAAAGTGCATCTGCATATGTCAGAAATCGACTTCAGAGAAGCTAGACCCGCTCATGATGCCGGGACAGTGTAGTTCCCCGACTTCACAAAGGGGAGCCCAGGAGCTCCCCACCCCTCCCAGCTTCTGCCAAGCCTGCAGCACTGTTGAAAATTTAATTTCTCTGTCTCTGGGGAGATTTCCTGATGGAACAGATTTAATCAACTGTTTCTTTCCTCCTTTGAACATGCACATGCTATTTTTGCTAGGTTTTTTGGTTTTTTTTTTTTTTCAATCTGTTAGTTTGGTTTAAACCCATTATTTTCTAAGGGTTCCTCTTAGGCTTTGGCAATTAATGCTTAGACTTTCTAAGGCCAAGACAATATTCTTATGCTATCCCCCCCTCCCCAAAACAGAACCAGTCTTGCACCTGAGCTTTTATAGATTCACAAATGTCAAATTATAGAATGTGTAAACAGTTAGGATGGGTTATTTGTGCCCTTTAAACAGTAAGCAGCAGTGGCAGTATCGGTGTACTTCAGTTCTTCAGACCAAGTGTTACAGACCAGACTGAGCTCAGGATTTAGTATTTAGTATTTAGTACTGCTTACCTCCTAGGTGGATGTGCTGATGTCAGAATGTGGTGAAAATCCCCTTCTCTCATAGTTTTAAGAACTGCTCCCTTTCTGATGACTGGATTTCCCTGGAAACCAAAATTTATGTCCAGAACTTTTTGTTTTAGCTATTTCGAGGGCAGGGAGGGTTTATTCTGAAACTACCTTCATTTCCTCAAGCACATAGTATGAATGTTAAGTATTTTGCTTAACTGCAATTCAAGAATGACTCTTGAGTGCAATCGGAAAGGCAACTGGGTCCTTGCAGCATTCTCCAAGTGCTCTGTGATCCTCTTTCTCTTTCTTTAGCCTGTTTTCCATCCCATAGTCTCTGCTGTGAATTGTCTACTTAATAGTCTATATGTCTAAGCAGTCACTTATAAACTGGAGAAAATAACCAAGCTATATAACTTGCCTGGGCTTCCCTTCCCTGCTCGCTCAGCTGTTAAAGAATCCACCTACAATGCAGGAGACCCCAGTTCAATTCCTGGGTTGGGAAGATCCGCCAGAGACAGGATAGGCTCCCCACTCCAGTATTCTTGGGTCTCCTGGTGGCTCCGTTGGTAAAGAATCCATCTACAGTGTGGGAGACCTGGGTTGGGAAAATCCCCTGGAGAAAGGAACAGCTACCCACTCCAGTATTCTGGCCTGGAGAATTCCAAGGGCCATATAGTCCATGGGGTCGCAGAGAGTCAGACACGACTGAGTGACTTTCACTTTCACTTTTCATGTAACTTGACAGCCTTAGGTACAGAGGCTGCTGGTCTAAGGACTAATCTACTCAAAAGGAAGCCTGTTGATCGTCAGATGCCATCTGTCTGCTCAGGGGTCTTTCCCCATGTTTCTTGGCTCTTCAGTTCATGGGGAGGGAGAAATAGATGTGTATGTGAGAGGAAATGGGATGGAATGGGCAGCAATACTGACACTGAACTGTGAATAGTAGTTACTAGAAAGAGGGTCCATGACAGGAGGTGGTTTGTCTACCACAAAATACTAGACTAGATACATTTGCTGTGGTGTATTGATAAAAACAAGTAATATTTGCTGAGTTACTACTTTAATATGCCAGGCCCTAGAAAAAAGCACTTTTATATGGATTAGCAAATTTAATCCATGTAACATCCCTGTGAAGTAATAGTATTAATATTACTCCTAGTTAAAGGAAACCCACAGTCAGAAAGGTTAGTAACTCCCCAGCCTCATCTGGCAAATCCAGGTCTAACTTGAGAATCCAAACTCTTAGTTTTGTATGCTTGGGACAGAAATCCTTTCCCTGTGTACCAGTGGAAGCAGGATATGCTGGTAAACTGGCCTTCTGGGGAAAAGAACCTTGGTTTGTAGTATTTGCTGATTCCCATGGTGCAGATACTCCCGCTGTGGCTGATTTCAAGCCCCCAACATGCCACCCCTGAATGCACACATGGAATGGATGCTCAGAGTCTGACCCTGCAAACCAGGGCTGGCCGGCTCCAGCACAGCCTCTGTGGGTAAGCTGTATTTTCCTTCATCACCCCTTACAGCTTCTGGGGCATCACTGTCATCCTCTAGTAGCCACGGAGCCGGCAGTGCTGGGACAGAAGAGTGTTAGGAGCCTGCCCCCATGAAGGCGTGGGATGGGGGGCTGATGAGCGCACTGCACAGCCCCGCGGGCCTCGGAGATGCACTCTGGCCCTTTCACTAGAGTTTCCACCTGAGACCGACCTTCTAGGTGGGTCTGAAATGATGCCCTGCATGCCTCTGGAGGACCAGAAGCCCGCTCTCCCCTTCCCTCCCTTAGAGACAACTTCAAAGGAACAGCTGAAGCATTAACACCTTGCTACAATTTTCAACAAAATAAGATAATGCTCTTCTGTCACTTTTTTCCCTCTCCTCCGCACTTCACACTCCCACGACTGTTTTGCTCGCAGCTAATTACTCTGCTCTTTGACTAGTCACTCTCCCCCTGTCAGCTGGTGCTGCTGCTCCAGGGCCAGGAAGAGCAGGCCTCCTGGAAACACGCTGCCTGCCCTCCCCAGCTGCGTGTTTCTCAGGGTCCCCAGGACCCTGGGGTCATAGGGCCCAGGCTCTAGCATGAGGATTGTATGTAATCACCAACATCCACGTATGCTCACACGGAGGCATCACTAGTTTTGGAAAGGCAGAGTTTTTTTTGTTTGTTTGTTTTTAATGAAAAGGCCAGTTAAACAACAATAAAGTGGGGCTTCAGCAACACCTGTAAAGTCCAACTCTTCTGCTTGTCCTCAGGAAACAAGCAGACCCTCCATGATTGCTCCCACAGGAAAGTGTATTAAAGAGAAGATGGGACAGGGGAAGTAAAGCAAAATTCCTGAGGCCCTACTGTGTACTGGGTTTTTGAAAAAGTCTTCATGGCAGCCTCATTTCCATTGAAACAGTGAGCAGAATGAGGGTTGCAGAGATTTGGTTACTGTGCAGAGAGTGAGCATGGGCAACTAGGGCAGTGGCATGATGGAAGCAGTCCTGCAGAAACAGGTTTGGGATTTAACTGTGGACTTCCCCAGAAGGCTCCCTCTAGGGAGTGAGATGTCACACTGCTTGGGGGAGCCCCCACCCCATCCATCGCCAGTGGGAGTATATGACCAGCTCTGTGTCTTGGTGTCTGTGACCACCGACTCAAGCAGACATTCTTGTGGCAAGATGAGAAATACCTAGATAGCAGGTTCAGTTGTGACGCTCTGAATGGTATTGCGTGGGAGTGGTGGCCCTTCATTCTGCTGAGGGTCACCAGCCTTTGGATTATTTTTTTAATTGAAATATAGTTGATTTACATTAGGGTTATTTTCAGATGTTATTTTCAAACAGCCATGATTCAGTTAATATATACATATATGTGTGTGTGTGTGTGTATATATATATATATTCTTTTTCAGATTCTTTTCCCTTATAGGTTACTACAAAATAATTGACTATACAGTTCCCTGAGGAAAGCAATCAAGGGCCATTCAAGTGGAAAAGCTAAAAACAAGTTACCTAAAAGGACCAAATTATTTTTTAAGTAAGAATTGATTGCAAAGGTTTTTTCCTCATTTTAAAAAACAAGTATTGCAACGTGCAGCAGCATCCTGCTTTAGAGTGAGAAGGGCTGTTAGAAACCATCTGGTTCAAGTCTCTAATTTTTTTAGATGAGGAACTTTGGTTCAAAGAAATTAAGTTGGTTTTTTTAAATTCCCAAGCCAAAATCACATGGTTTATTAGAGGTATAGCTGTCTCCAAGCACCCAACTTTTCTGATTCAAGAGTCCAGTATTGTGATGGTCTGTTCAGTATACCACTCAGCTGATTTTCTATCTGTATTTCTTAAGGTCTCAAGGATGAAGGAGAGAGCAATGGGTAGAAAGAAATTAAAGGGAAAAGTTAGAATAAAAAAGCTAAAAATAGAAAGAAGATGGGGTGACTTTTCAATGAAGTTAGGGTTTCAGCTTGTCACTTTGTGTCACTTTTAGTACTTAAAGTTTAATTCCTGTTGATTGTAGCTCTTTGAGAACTGTTAATATTTTGTCATGGGCTATGCCCCAAATGAAATGCAATAGTCAGATGTAAGATGAAGTTTGGGGATCTGAAATAGAGATATTCTTTAGTTAGTGACTAAAATAAGACTAACCTATAAGTAGACTTATTCTGTGGATTCAAATCCTGGCTCTGCCACTTCTTCTTGGCTGTGTAGTCTTTGCAAATTAATCTCTGCAGGCCTCCATTTCCTCATCTGATCCACAGGGATAGTGATACTCAGACCGGAGAGTTGTTATAGCAGAGCCAGATTAGTGCTAGCCAGTCATGAGCTGTAAGCATCAACAGTTTTTGTTGTTCAATGCCAGATTTTACTTGGAGTAATACAATACAAATCCCTTTGTGAATTTTCACGCATGTCATGAAAAGCCAGCTTTTATCTTTGTTCTTCAGTGTACTGCCCACTTCTGGATTCCATATATCATTCTTCCATTTTACAGAGATGAGTAAGGGAGCAGAAGCTAGTGGTGGCCTGCTGCCATGGAGGGCAGTCAGAAGTGGCAGGATGGCAAGGGTTTTGCACTGTGAAATCTTTGCTTTTCTGTCTCTGTAAATGCATCTCCCCCCCCTCCTTTGGCCTTATCATGCTTGATTCTATAATTATGAAATATGCAGAAGGTTTCTAGTGATATGCTAAGAGTAGTGGGGATGAAATATAGACTATAGAGAAGACAAAATCTCCGGCTTAATGAGATCTTTTGACCAGTTTTAGTTTTAAAGAGTACTTGAACTAGAAGAAAATAAAGTAATTATCAATTGCAAGTCTTCCATTTTACAAAGAAACTAAGGCCCCAAAGCAGATATTGTCTATTTGGTATTATGTTATTATTGTTTCTATTTTATTTATTTACTTACTTTTCTATCCTGATGCATTATGGGCTGCAATCAGCCTATGAAGGTATAGAATTAAAATTCATTGAGGGGATCTCTGTGTATGTGTGGAAGAGGGGGTGGGGAAAGGGAGAAGGTAAATTGAAAACTGGCCTGGGGGAAATTTTTGAAAAGTTAATACCCCAGGATATGTAGTAAAGTTCAGTACATACACATGTAAATCCACGGCTGATTCATGTCAATGTATGGCAAAAACCACTACAATATTGTAAAGTGATTAGTCTCCAACTAATAAAAATAAATGAAAAAAAAGTAATAAAGTTTGGTACATATTCTGTATTTGTGTTGGTTCCTTGCAGCTGACAGAAAGGGGTGTAGATAGTATGGTCCATTGAGTTTATAAGTTAAATAGACCATCACAGAGGAGCAGCAAAGCTCGCCATAATTTTGAGGTGGAGAGAAATTTTTCCATGCATTATCATAAAATTGTGTTAAGATTCTTTTGGCAAGCTACAGCATTCTTGCATTGTATTTCCTGACCCAGAACCCTAGATAATGTACGATCAGAAATGAAAGGTTCATATATACTACGGTAGCACCTGTGTTAACAGCCAACCATGTGGCAATGGATATTTTTGTCAGAAATATTGAATCAAAGCTGGATACTATATCAGAGCCTAAGGTGATAATCCCTCATTTCAGAGAAAAGGGTTCATTATGTAAGAAGTCAGTAACTTCTGAAAGTAATGTCAAGTGGGCCATACAGTGTTCTGCAAACTGCAGGGTGTAACTCTTAAAAAGAGCATGAAATCTGTTTTAAGAGGTTATACCCAGTCTATTTTTTTTCTTTAATGAAATGGATTAACACAGAATATAGCAGAATGGAAGCTATCAGAGGAGGGTTGTGTGTATTTATGGTTGTGCTGTATCACAGTATAAAATGTACTTGTCACTCAGATTGTGGTCCAAAAAGTTCAAAAGCCATTGTCACCCAAGCATAAAAGAGGCACAGCAGAGTCTTGGGCATAGGGTCAGATTAGGGTTGACCTTGGCTTTGGTGGGGGTTGGAGGGAGTGGCAAAGAAGCTCCAAGCAGAGGTGCCCATTGGAGGCTTGGACTGAGACTGAGGAGGGCAAGGACCCCAGCAAATCCACGTGTCCAGAAGCAGCGCTTTTCAAAACCTGTGGCTGTCATGAGGGTGAGGGAAAGAACGTTTGTGATTGTTGGGAGTCTTACCCTGAAATACACGGGCAAGGTCATGAGCAGGGGGGACCATTCCATCGTGCTCATTTTCCCACCAGCAAGAGCCCCTTCCCCAGATGAAAACCAGGCCTTCAGCTGGAGGCTCTATGGACGTGTCTGTCCAGTACCAGAGCCGTGAGCCACCTGTGGCTACAGAGCCATTGTGACGTGGCTGGTCCCAAAGGAGCTGTGCTCTAAGTGTAAAATGCACTCCAAGTTTACACGGATGTAAAATCTCTCGTTAATTTTTTAAATACTGATTTATTGATCGCTTGTTGAAATGATAGCATTTTGGATATATTGCGTTAAGTAAAATGTATTCTTGAACTGAATTCACCTGTTTCATTTTGCTTTTGTAATGTGTCTGCTGGACGTTTAAAAATTATGTACAAGGCTTCTGTCTGGCTCCTACTGTTTTTCTGTTGGACGGCGCTGGTCTGGATTTTCCTTATGCTGCCTCTAAATTTCCTCTTAAAGGACTGTTTTGCTATTACTCTTAACCTTTCCTTTCGAGATTTTTCCACATGCTTCTCAATCTTCGAAATGTCTTTAAGAAAAAAAGTCTTTTTTTTTCCCCACTTAATGATGAAATTCAAATGCACACTTTGAGTTAATGCTTTGGTGAGAATAGATTTTTTTTCCCCCAGTAATTTGCCTATCAGTCATGTCAGTAATGGATTGAACCTTCCTTGGTTGTTTGGAGAAAGGGACTAGAAAGTGGGTTCCTCCTTTCTTAAGGTTTGGGGGTTGGGGCGATGGCAGAAAAAGAGGGTAAAATGATGGGAGACAGTTGTGGGCCCGCCATTCATTTCACTCAGGCTGCTGCCTGGGGCTGGCCCTGCTATGAGAGATTTCTGGCTTTTGGGGAGCTGGGGGGAGGCCTGATTTTAGATTATGCTTTGTTCCCTAGCAATTTGATAATTTTTTATTTGATAATTGCTAATTTCAATAACTGGTACTTTTTTTTTCTCCTCCTGAGCTAAATTTGGCTCTCGGTTTGGATTTCAAGATTTCTCCCTACTTATTTTTGACTGTCGGGATCCCAAGAAATTCAAAACTATATACCCTTTTCAATCCTTAATCATAAGGGAAGGATCTAAAGCTTCCTTGTGATTAAGGATGCAAAGCCGCCTGTTTCCTCCAAGGCCCCATCTTAGAGGTCTGCTCCTCCCCACCATATACTGTCCTGGCACCTTCCCTCCCCAGGTCGCAAAGCCAACTCTACCCCTGCTCCACCCGCACCCCCCACCCCCACCAGGGCGACCACAGGTCTCATTGTCTGTCCAAGATTCCATATCTCAAGTCCAGTATTTGGAACTGAGCAAAGGAAAATATGGGTATAATGCTTCTGAGGATTCTGGTTTTTGAAAGGAAAATGATTGTAGGGCTTCATGATTGAAAAATGGTTTGAAACCAAAAATGAAGTGTTTGACGCGTTTTAACTGTTCATGAGAATTCCTGTGGTTCTGCCAACAAGCAGAAGCAATATTGATGTTTCTTCTCTCTATGCCCTCCCCCTAGGAGTTGCTCTGAGACCTACCGCATGCCAGTGATGGAGTACAAAATGAACGAAGGGGTTTCCTACGAATTCAAGTTTCCCTTTCGAAATAACAACAAGTGGCAGAGGAATGCCAACAAGGGGCCGCATTCACCTCAAGTCCCGTCCCAGGTGCAGAGTCCCATGACCTCGAGGCTGAACACCGGGAAGGCGGACGGGAAGATGCCTCCTCCGGAAAGAGCCGCCAACATCCCCCGCAGCATCTCTAGTGATGGGCGCCCGCTGGAGAGGCGGTGAGTGTGTCTTTCAAGGTTTGCCCTGAATCTCTGCCCCAGATTTAAATATCTCCAGGCCCAGAAGTACCAGTGTTTGAGCTGCCCATATTTTACTAGAAATCAAAAATTAAAACTGAGATGCATGCACTAGTGGTCTTCAAACCATGGTAGCATTCTGAAGCCAGCAGGGTAAATGAAGATGTGTTCCAGCAAAGCATTTGGCCTTGTGTAATGGCATCTGGGCTTTGTTCTTTCATTTTCTGTGATACCAACAGAAATCATCATTGCACACTTAGGAGCCATATGAACTAGAACTTGTCAGTCACTTTGAGGTGACATTGACCATATCATCACCTTTGACAGTCTTTGACTTGTAGAGGATTAGTGATATGATTGCAGCAACAGATGGTTTTTGGTTGAGTGTCTGTGTTTGTGTCTGTGTTACTTTGTTATAAAGAATTGTGAGAAGGGAAAGCTGCTAGTGTAGTACAAACATACTTTCCACTGCTCTGAATGCAGAAGAAAATAGTGGATGTTACAGTCCTGAGTAAAGTAATTAAAAAGAGCAGGCAGGGATTGAGGGATCCCAGAAAGTAACAGACCAAGGTTCGTCGTTAAATGGAAAGTCACAGTGGATTTCCTCACAAATCATGTCTGGTTAATTCTTTCTTAACCAGGATGCCCTAGCATTTTGTCTCAAATTCACTATAAAATGCAGCACCATGAACTAAGAACCTAGGGCAAAAATTAAAATAGAGTAAGTGCTCTTAAAATGTGAATACATATGGACTGTATAATTTTAAGTCATTGTACTATAAATTCAGACACTCCAAATTACCTCTACTACAGTTTAACACAGTAACCTGCTAGTCCTCTGCTAGAAGAAGCTGACTTCTTTCTGTACGTGTACTGCCCTTTCCCCGTCATTGTGCTTGTCTTGATCACATCTCTGCATGTTTTTGTGGTCTCCACACTACAGAGGGGATCAGGAACCCTCAGAACTGGCAGGGAGAAGTCTCTGTTCCAGAAGCTGCTGTGGAATGAAGAAAGATCCCTATGGAGCCAAAATGTGAACCTGACTCCAGCCAGAACAGGGCGCCAAGGAAAACGTCCCAGCGATGCTTCAGAAGTCATTGGTTCAGACTGAGAGCAGAAAGTTGGAGGTTTTCAAAACCACACTATGATGTCTTTTATCTTAAAAGACATAAAACATTGACACTTAACTATTTCAGAAACACTAGAATACCATGTAGAAATAATCTGATCAAAACAAAAAGAGACAACCAAAAAAAACCCTAGTTGTCTTTCTAAAATTCCTCATATAATCTTGGGGATTTATTTACAGAGCCTTGCTGTTTATCTCAATAAAAGATTCCTCTCCCAAAGTGGCTACATTCCCATCTGGACTCCTCTTGCTTTCATTATTTTCAGGAAGGAATAGCATCCAAGTGATCGCTGAATAAATTCTTTGTTCTGCACATCCCAAACTTGGCTCCCTCTGAGGTGTGTGTTAACTGAAATTCATGATTTGGCCCACATTTTGAAAGATGAACCTAGGAAACCGTTGTTTAGAGAAGGACCTTTTGTTCCTCTCAGTGCTATTTTCTTTCTTTCCAAGACAGTCATCAGGAATTTACGAGTGAAATCGGTTTCACGTTATTTTATATGATATTTCATATAATAAAATAGCAGAATGTATTTTGATTCCATGTTGAATTTAATTTCTGCAACAGAAACTAAAGCTTATGGCTGAATGTACTGACCTCCGAAAGTGAAAATATTTTTTGTGGCTTCTTATCCTCTTAGGATGCAGGCAAGTGCTATAGAATGCATCACTCCATTTATAGAAGTTCTTTCTGTGAATGTTTTTTCTTTCTGTGGATGTTTGTGTGTACCTTTCCCATATCTACCCAAAGGACAGGGAATTCTCATGCTGTCTCTGTAAGACTGTAATAGCCCTGTGGCTCTCCAAGGCAGAAGATGAAACTGGCAGAAGCGAGGCTACCAATGGTTTTTGGAAAATTTGACCTCTACTAAGTCTTCTTAGTTTCAGATATCCTTTAAGACACTGGACTAGGATTTCAGATCTAACGATGGAGGGCTTGTAACACTCAGCTCTAAATTTTCAGATTATTTGTCTCCTCTTCATTTTGAAGGGTATGGAATTAGATGGCTGTTCCTCTCTTGTAAAAATTTAAGAGTTTGATGTCCTATCCCATCATTCCTAACTTTCAGTAAAGCAGTATTTCTTATTTAAGTTTTAACTTTGAGGCATACATAGAAGGTACTGTTTGAGAAACAATACCGAGTGAGTATTCAGTAGACTCCTGACATTCACCAGGAATACTTCCCGAGTCCTCCATTAAGACCTAGAGTCATAAAATAGACCTGAGAATATCATTTCCTCCATGAAACATAGTAAAATAAAACTAAAAATTTTAAGCATTCCCTTCCTAGTTCTACTGAGAACAAATTACCTTGCTGCAACATGGCCGTGATGCTCCTGGCTATCCCTACCTCCCCATCTGACTCTCCGCCTTCATCCCAGCCCTGCCCCTAGATACCATTTGCCTTTGTACCTGGGCCATCTGTAGAGTGATACGGACCTTTCAGATGAATCATAAGTGGTCAAAACAGATGCCAAGGTCTGCCACTCCCTGAATCTTACCTTACCAGTAGTAGCATATGCCTGATACTGAGACTAAAGGATGGTCCCTTGGTATCAGTATAGGATTGGTTCAGAACCTCCCTGGATACCAAAACCCGCAGCTGCTCAAGTCCTGTAATTAACCCTCACATCCTCAGCAGGTCTGCAGATCATGAACATAGTAGTATATACATTGAAAAAAATTTCCTGTAGAAGTGAGCCTATGCAGTTCAAACCCATATTGTTCAAGGGTCAGCTATATTGCCTTTACGTGGTTCGTTTGTTTCATTTATTTTTCTCCCCCAGGTCAGGCATGTTGTATTAAACTGTAGAGAACCAGCTTATTTAGGATGAAGTGTGCAGCCACCTCAAGCCTACTCTGCACATGCTACACAAATCTGCCTGCTTCATTCACCACGACTGGACACAGCACAATTCATTTTAAATGAAAACTGAATATACTGCTTGTAGAAACTTAATTTACTGCTTGTAGAAGCATAGTTTTCTTGAATTGTATGCAAGTTCCCAGACTTAACGGTCATTAGAAACAATTAAAGAAAAAAATACTTGTGGAACAGATTATCCTTTTTCACAATTTTTATGACAAACTAAAAGGTGTTGTTCCTATTTGGAGTTTCTAACAAGAATTATTTAACTGAATTTTGCTCTCTATACATTGATTAGAGAAACTGATACAATAGGAGTAAATGACCCATTTGCCATCTAAATAGAATAAAGTCTGATTAGATTTGGTTTGAATATAAGAGCTTTATGCTATCTGGGTGGCCTTGAAAGTGTATAATTTTATGGTATTTGTGGGAGAAGTTCTTATTGATAGAATTATTATTTTTGTTCAGTAGCTAAATTGTGTGTGATTCTTTTTGACCCCATGGACTGCAGCATGCCAGGCTCGCTGTCCATCACCAGCTCCCAGAGTTTGCTCAGACTTATGTCCATTGAGTCGGTGATGCCATTCAACCATCTCCTCCTCTGCTGCCCCCTTCTCCTGCCCTCGATCTTTCCCAGCATCGGGGTCTTTTCCCGTGAGTTGACTCTTTGCATCAGGTGGCCAAAGTATTGGAGCTTCAGCATCAGTCCTTCCAATGAATATTCAGGGTTGATCTCCTTTAGAATTGGCTGTTTTGATTTCCTTGCTGTCCAAGGGACTTTCAAGAGTCTTCTCCAGCACCACAATTCAAAAGCATCAAGAATTGACAAAATTAATATTTAACAAAAACAGTTGATATGGTGCAATCTCTGTTTTGGCCTCAAATATATCTTGAGTGTAAGGATAGTACTGAATTTAAGTTAGCTGGCTGTGGTACACTGAACTTAACACATTACTGTGTTTAAACATAATATGGGATTAGTAATACAACCCTGATCGGTGTTAATATGCTCAGAAAAGCTTAAGTATTTCAGGGGTTTTGCATAAACAACAGGCATGTTGGCATATAAAAGCATTTTCCTTTCTCCTTTTTGTAGATGGAGTATTGCCAAGCTTTCTATAAATGTTTAGAGTCAGATCATCCTGAATCAATGCTCCTTTTGCATTTTACCTGGATGCCATCCTCTCCCCCTTTCTCCACTGTATTTAGCTTTCAGCAGCTGGATGGAATGTTGCTTCGTAAACAGAGTTACAGCTGGCTACACTTGCAGCCTCCCTAATGCCCTCCTCTGCAGATGTCTGCACCATGCAGGGCATGAAGATCATGCCTAGAGGATATTGTTGAAACAAACGCAAATAGTTCTTCTATTTCTGTTTCAGTATCCATTAACAAAAACTCCCCTTCCCCCACCCCTAGGCCCTTACCATTCTACTTTCTGTGATTTTGACTATCTTGGTACCTCACATAAATAGAAAATTTACCTTAGTGGAATCATCCACTGTTTGTTCTTTGGGGACTGGTTTATTTCACTTTAGCATAATGTATTCAGGCTTCATTCATGTTGTAGCCTATGTTGAGTTTTCCTTCTTGCATATTAGCTCAGGCTACTGTAACAAAATACCATAGATTCAGTGGCTTATACAACAGACATTTACTTGTGGAGTCTGGAAATTCCAAAATCAAGGTTCCAAAAGGTGTGGTTCTTGGTGAGGACCCTCTTCTTGGCTTGTAAAAAGCACCTTCTTGCTGTGTCCTCACATGGCAAAGAGAGGAAGCTCTGGTTTCTTGCCCCTCTTATAAGGGGACTCATTGCATCATGGGGGCTCCACCCTTATGACCTCATCTTAACCTAATTACCTCCCAAAGGCCCCACCTCCTAATGTCATTACACTGGGGTTAGGATTTCAACACATGAATTCGGTGAGGAGTGAGGGTGGGGGGATCCCCAGGTGGCACAGTGGTGAAGAATCCACCTGCCAGTG